GATTTGGATCATGGATTCATTGAATCCATAGATTTAGCAAAATGTTACTTTTTTTGCTACTTTTTGTATCATGGATCGTAGCTTCAGAGATTTTAAATCTCTCAAATATAGAGATATCAAATCTCTTATAATTAGAGAGATTCTACATCTTGATTTTGGATATTTTCTCCCTCCTACTATATCTTTTTTTTTTCATTTATCTTACTAAATACCCTTATCAATAAATTTTAAATATTTTTCGAGTCAATCTAATTATTTTGGTTAAGGATAAACATGTCATGTAATAAAAAAAAAACAGAATTTCTTTTTTCATTGGATGTTAACAATCGTAGTTACTAAACAATGAACATTTTCAAATCTTTTTTAAACAATTTAGAGAGTTAAAATCTTGGGATTGTCTAGAATCTACAGATTTAGACTCCAATTCTCCAAACGAGCCCTAAAAGCAACAACCAAAGCAATTATTTCCCCCGGTAATTAACCAAAACAATATTTTGTTGTTGATCGTTAATCCCAAGATTCATAGTATGATGAATGATCTAATTTAGGTTAAAAATTTAAGCAAATGATTTCCAAGTTCTATCTGCATCTCTGAGATTTGAAGAATCAATAGTTATGGGGACCATTTGGCATTTGGAATTGTGGATTGTAAATCATAAAGTTATAGTATTCCGAAAACAGTCATATTCTTTTGCAACAATTTTAGCACTTGATTTTTTTTATTTTTATTTCAAGGGTCCTTTGACATTTGAAATCCGACTTGAGATTCTCAAGTTTCTAATCAAATTCTTGTTTTCTTTCATTAATTAGCACTTATATACTTCTTAATTATAAGTTCTCGTTTTGATATTTGTGATTCTAAAATTGATATTCCTTGAATATCATGCCACACGAGAAAGCCTAGTTCTTTTACGACATTGAATCACACTATATCACGGGGTTAGTTAGGTGCAAACAATCAACCACTTCAACGAAATTTCTTTTTCGAAAAAAAAATGCAGTAAGGTGACACATCACTTGTTCATAGGTGGTATAGATACCACAAACCACTTTACACCCCAAGAGGGAAAGGTGATGTGCAAATTTGTAAAGTCAGTCCATAGAATCTTCAGCGTTGCACCAATGGAAGGAGAGGTCTTGATATAATGTGCCTTTGTTATCTTTACCTTAATTGGGACGTGGTCCTAATGGTAAAGGAGAAAGAATTTTTGGGAATGAGAAGAGGATAACGAGGGAGAGGGACGATGACAAATTGACAATGAAGTTTACAAAATATGGTGAAGCACTTTTGCGGACCAGTGAATGGGAATGGCGGATTTTAATTTATTGGAGTTTATGGGGGTGAAGATTGAGATCTTCATGCGGGGCCAGAGTGGATTGCAAATTTGCAATCGCCCACTTGAGTTCAATTCAGTCTAACAACCTTAGCTGTGCATTGCAGAATGGGATTGGGAAAATATTTTGGGGCACATTAGTTTTGGACTTTGGGTAATCATTACATACGTAACATATAGGTTTATTTTAGGGTTAATATATTTGTATTGTATGGTCTGAACTTTGTACATAATAAACATTTTAGTCAATTTTTTCGATTTATAACATTCTGACTCAAATTATACATTAAAGTAACGAAATTGGCCAAACCCGATGGTTGACCGTTACCTTGGACAGTCAAACATGTTGACTAACGGTCAACGTGCCATGTCACTGCCAAGTCAGCAACTTTCACTTAAATTTTTTATATTTTCCACCTATTATCATTTTTATTTTTCATTTTGAACCTAAAGAAGAAGAAAAAATTAATTTCATTTTGAACTAAGAAAAAGAAAAATGATAATAGGTGGAAAATATAAAAAAAATATAAGTGAAAGTTGCTGATTTGACAGTGACGTGGCGTGTTGACCGTTAGTCAATGCGTTTGACCATTCAAGATAACAGTTAAATATCGAATTTGACCAATTTCGTTACTTTGATGTCTAGTTTGGGCCAGGATGTTATAGATCGAAAAGATTGGTCATGATGTTTATTATGTGCAAAGTTCAGGTCATACAAATATATTAACCCTTTATTTTATGTATAACAGATTATTATGAAAGCCTTATGTAATGAATTGTCTTTTTATGTAATGAATTTTAACCTCGCGTTACGTAAAGTGATAAGTTATTAAGGAAGACTTACATAATGCTTCTTATTTAACTATTACTTAAGAAGAATTTTTTTTTCTCCAACCAAAGATAGCTTGCATTACGAAGAAAAATAGATCGAACGTTTACAACTTCATACGGAGCCAAGCGCAAAAATCAAAACCTAGCACATTCTTAGCGAACAATACAAGAGATTTTCTTGCCACCATATGGGCAACCCTATTGTTTTGTCTCCCCACGAACTGTACTTTCACACCGGGATATACTTGTGCCCGAGAGCCTGGACTCACGATGGAGGGCACCATTAGTCATGCACCGCACATTCACCATATCAATAATCTCTTTAGCACATCCCCTCGTATCCACACTGAACAAAGACCCTTAGCCACACCCCCAATGGAACACTTCTCGAAGAGCTATCAGCTCTACCATAGCCTGTTTGTAAACCCCTTCCAAGCGCCCAACTTTAACCATCACCACCGTCGCACCAGACTCATCCCGAATAGCTAAAAAAAAAAAGAACAATTATCATTTACTAACCTTTACATAGTAGATATGTATTGTACGTAACAGTTGTACAACGGGAGCTAGTTATCACCATGAGCACCGCCTGCCCCGCATCATGCTGCTTCATCATAGAGTGCAAGTAGAGGTGGCAATTTCAATCCAATCCACCAATCCAATCCATCAATCCATTAAAAATATCCACCTAATCCAATCCATTTGATCCAAATCCAATTGGATTGGTGGATTCATGGATTGGATTCATGGATCATTGGCAAATTACGGTTTAGTACCTATAATTTTTATTTTTTACATTTTGGTACCTAAAATTTTATTTTTTATACGAAAAATATCATTGGAAAATTACATTTTGGTACCTAAAATTTTTCATTGTGACATTTTAGTACCTAAACTTTTTACATTTTACATATTGATCCTTGGTTGAGGATGCCATTTGGATTCATGGATAATCCACCAATCCATTTGATCCAATCCATGAATCCACCAATCCATTAGATCCAATCCAATCCACCAATCCAATCCACCAATCCAATCCATTTGCCACCTCTAAGTGCAAGACACCGCCGATTTCCTTACAAGGAAAGAATTGTTATCAGTATTATGTATATGCTTACATTGCTACTTACCTAGAATAGGAACAAGCGACCCTGAATAGGAAAGGAGTGGCGATCATGGGCAGCGGCAGACGGATTGTTGATAATTGAAGAGTACTGTGAGTGTGTGAGTGACTAAATATATATGCTTGCTGGCCAATTTATGGGCATACATACATATAACCTGCAGTGGTCTCGTGGCAGGCATGGGTCACGCCAACTAGCTTATTAGCTCTAGCTCTAGCTCTAGCCCCAGAAAAAACCTAACTCTGCGGTGCCGGTGCTCCGTTTCCTTATTCAACCCTTCAAACACAGGGGAGGGCCACTTGGCCAATTCTGGGTTTGCTGCCGGTGAGATGATTCGCGGGGATAAGAATAATGCGTTATATTGCGGTTCCGAGTAACAAACCGCCAGAATTTTGTTTGAAAAAAAAAGGAGAAAATGAGGAATGTACTGAAAATGACGAAACCACTGCAACCTTAGTTGAATAAAATAATAATAATAATAATAATAATAATAATAATAATAATAATAATAATAATAGAATGGTCAAACAACTATTACACAAATTCATGGAATTTTAAAGTATTGGTGTTTCGAGATACAAATTAAACTTACATCATAACAGCAAAAGTATAATTTCAGTTTGTACTATAGATGAATTCATACTTTTATATTATGATACAAAATCAATTTATATCATATATAAATTTCTACGTACAAGTTCAGTCTTTCATCTCATGATGATCCCCAGGCTTCCAAGTGGTACACTAGTCTGCTTTGTCTTGAAAATGCACACAACGCTACCAAAAGCGTATCAATTGTATACAAGCATTCCTAGGGTATACAACTATGATACACTATCATACCATATTTTATAATCTTATTTACTATCAAGCACACGTACGTACCGGGGTCAATCGACGATGTAAGAAAGACAACGACCAACAAGAAAGTAAATAACACATGGATTTACATGGTTCACTAACACAATGCGTGTTAGCTAGTCCACAGGCGGAAGAAAGTTAGTTTCACCATACTTGAGGGATTACAGATTACAGAGAGGTATGATAGGTATTTATAGTACTTCTCCAATGGCCTAACACTAATCCAATATGGTAAAGAACAAGATTACACACCAGATCCACAACAGAAGCCCAAACGTGTACAATCCAATACACCACCATGTGGAATGGGGATGTTGGCCCAGAACCCCCCATCGGGAAATCCTTGCTTCCCCCGAGCCCCTAACCGGGTGCTTCACCTCTGGACCCCAACTCATTGGTCGGCCAGCGCGATATCACCTTGCGACTTCCATTCGACGGTATCATCCGATTCATGTCACATCAACAATTACCACCATAGTATGGACTTGCAATGAAATAGAGATATAACCCATTAAATTTTTTTTTGTTCTCAAAGATATCAAAGTGAATGTCATTTTAAAAATCGTAATTAGGCTAATTTATTTTTTGCAAAAAAAAAAAGAGAGAGAGAGAGAGAGAAAATTATGACTTGAAATGAAAGAAATATAACCCATTAAAATTAATTATCTTTCATAAATATTAGGTGTAGGATTATGTATGGTTATTAATCAATAGGTTATTTTAAAATAAAAGAAAATTCAACCGCTTGAATGAAAGAAAAGGGGGGACATAGTTAATATTAGTCGCTCCGAAATTCTAGGAAAGCGACTGTATTGCACCGGCGCGCGCTAGGGTTTTTCTCGCTCGAAGCATGCCGGCGGTCCAAGTGCCGCTGGCTTCGGGGGGCTCGCCAGCCTCTCCGGCAACGGAACTAACAAGCGGCCAACGTAGGCCGCCGTCGGCGACTTCATCCCCGAACGCTAAGGGAGAAAAAGAAGCGCAACAAAGCAAGAAGAGAGCTAAGCCGACTGTGACTATCCCAACTGTGCAGGGGGACACGGATGTTATCCTGGAGGACGTGCAAGAGACGACCGGCGCAAAGCAAAACCCGGCAAGCCCTAGGCCGACAGTCTGGGGAACGGGAACATCAGCAGCTCGCCGACTGTTTGGGGAAGGCACCCGTCTGGATAGGTGGTACACAGCTGACTCAGACTCGGAGGATGTTGCGGCGGCAATCTTAGAGGATGGTCGGGAGGGCGGTCTCGGGGAAGAAGAAGACGACCCACTCTGCCCCCAGGTTTACTTTTCGGCGGCGGAGGAGAGACGCTATAGCAGGGAGTGGAGATCAGCCCTAATCGTGAAAGTTTTGGGGAAGTCCTCCTCATACACAGGGATATCCAAGCGCCTAGACACGATCTGGGCGAAAGCGAGCGGGATACAGGTTGCCTCAGCCAAAAACGGGTACTACGTGGTCCGCTTCACAAGCGGCATTGACTATGAGAGAGCGGTAACGGGTGGACCGTGGATGATGGGGGACAATTACCTTACAGTTCACGCTTGGGAGAGAGACTTTAATCCATACAGGCATGAGATCGCGTCTACCATTGTGTGGGCAAGGCTGCTAGACATAACAATTCACTACTTCAATACGGAAGCTGTTATGAAAATTGGGCAACGAATTGGTAAGCCTATCCGCGTGGATCAGGCGACGAGCACTGGAGCACGGTTGGACTATGCTCGGGTCTGTGTCCAAGTTGACCTCACCAAACCTCTCTTATCAATGTTCAAAATTAATGGCGTCAAATACTTTATCCAATATGAAGGGCTGGAGAAGATTTGCCTGGAATGTGGTCGATACTGTGATAGGGCACAGTGTACGTGTAGAGTGTCATCGGAGTATATGGAGACAGACAAAGGAAGTGCGGCTGACAAACCAAAGCAGGCCGAACCGGAAACCCCCTATGGGGACTGGATGATTGCCAAAAGGAAAAATAGGACGAACCGGAAGGACAGTAACTCACAGTCGGGGAAGGGGCAGCCCAAACCGATGGAGGGAGCTCCGGAATCACCGAAGGGGTCTAGGTACAACGTGCTTCAAGACGATGATGAACTGGTGGAGGACCTTAACTCGAGCTCAGAAGCCCCAGAGAAACCGCCGAGTACAGCCAAGGCCACATCCAAGGGAAAGAGCAAGGAGGTAGAGCCAAGGCAGCCCGCTGCTTTGAAGACGAAAGCGGTCTTCGTTGAGCCAGCCCAGGAGGTTGAGAAACAAGATGGCCAGATGCATAGGGAAATTCAGCAACAGAAGGGGCATGAGAGCAGTGGGAAGAAGGGACTTACCTTCACGGGAAAGCAACAAGCTTCTCAACTCCAAAACCAAAATTCATGCCCACTGGCCCATGCAGACAGCCACCACCGGGTCAAGCGGCCCATGCAGTCTACTTACAACCGAGGAATGGAGAGTGTGTAACGGATCCGAAACAGAATCCACCAGATGCGGTGTTTGGAACACGTACCGCAGGGGCAAATCCGCAGGGCCAAGCCAAAGAAGCTGTGAACCAGGTCCCCGTGGAGCATGATAGGAGAAAGCAAAGGATGGGTTTTCCCCGTCCTGAGCCTACCAGGGAAGCCACTTTAACGCATCTCTTGCCCAATGAATTACAAAGTTTTTGTTTGGAATTGCCAGGGTGCGGGAAGTAGATGTTTTATCAGAGTTTTTAACGAGTATAAAAGGAGGCATCGTCCTCAAATTGTGATTATCGTCGAGCCACGGATCAGTGGCGACAGGGCTAAAGATGTCAGGCAGAGCTTGGGTTTCGATAAAGAGCTTGTAGTTGAGGCAGTGGGGTTCTCGGGGGGAATTTGGGTGTTATGGAATTCCACGGATATTTGCCTGTCCCGAATTAATGCTCACGCTCAGTTTATTCATATGCAGGTAGAGCCAGTGGGTATCCCGGGGCACAAGTGGCTACTCACAGCAGTCTATGCAAACCCGGCTCCCATGCAACGTCGAGTGCTGTGGGAAGCGTTGAGAGAGTTGGCCGAAGACCAGGACCAGCCCTGGGCAATCATGGGTGATTTCAACTCCATTCTGCGTCCTGAGGAGAAACTTGGTGGTGCCCCTTTTGACTCAGCTCGCATTAAAGACTTCCAAGACTGCATCAACGATGCCAGCCTGGTGGACCTTGGATACTGCGGGCCGCCCTTTACATGGTTCAGGAATGGCGTACGGGAACGCCTTGATCGCGTGCTGGCTAACAATAGATGGACTTTGCTGTTCACGGAAGCCTCGGTCCGGCATCTACCGCGGGTCAAATCAGACCACAGACCCCTCTTGCTGTCAACGGATTTGCCGTGCCCTCCGGCGGGACCGAAACCTTTTCGCTTTCTCGCTGCTTGGCTCACCCATGACGAATTTGCCCCGATGCTCCAGGAAGCATGGGCCAAGGGGACCTCCTTTACTGGCTCGGCGGAGGAGTTTGCAAAGGAAGCGATTCGCTGGAATCACCAAGTTTTTGGCCATATTCTCCGGAAAAAAGATGCCCTGCTGAGAAGATTAGAGGAGCTCGAGAAAAGAGATGGGAGGCATTCGATGTCACCACAGCTGGAAGCCACCCGAGAGGAACTTGAGAATATTTTGTTCCAAGAAGAACTTTTATGGTACCAGAAATCGAGATTGGAGTGGATTGTCTCGGGGGATCGTAATACTGCTTACTTCCATGCCAGAACACTTAAGCGACAGAAGAGGAATCGGATACTAGCGCTCAAAAATAACGAGGGTGACTGGGTGGATGATCTAGAGGAGCTAAAGCAGATTGCAATCCTATACTTTCAAGTCCTGTACACAGACGACAATGGGGAAATGGATGTGCTGTGTAGAAACTTCCCGGACCTTGGAGAGGAGAAGTGGCAACAACTTGCGACGACCCCAAATGCTGAAGAGGTTTGGGCGGCAATAAAGGCAATGGGGGCGCTCAAGGCGCCCGGAAAAGACGGCCTCAATCCTCTGTTCTTCCAAAGATGATGGGAAACAGTGGGGAGCAGCCTAGCCAAGTTGATCGAGGACTGTTGGGAGTGGCCGGACAGGATAAAGGAGATTAATTCTACTGTACTAGTGCTCATCCCGAAAGTATCGGCGCCCACAACTATTGACCAGTTTCGGCCTATAAGCCTCTGCAATGTGGCGTACAAGTCACTCACAAAGTGCATAGCAGAAAGGCTAAAACCTCTTATGCCGGAACTGGTGCATGAAACCCAGACAAGTTTCGTTCCAGGACGCTACATAACGGACAATATATGCATACTCCAGGAAGTGGTACACTCTATGAGAGCAAAAAAGGGTAGGCGAGGGTGGATGGTGCACAAAATAGACCTCGCCAAGGCTTATGATCGCATCCGCTGGGATTTTGTCAGAGATACCCTGGAGGCAACCGGAGCTCCAGCCAAATTGATCGAAGTTATAATGGCATGCATCACCTCAACGTCGATGGAGATTCAGTGGAATGGTGGCCTCACAAGCTCGTTCTCTGCGACTCGGGGCCTCAGACAGGGTTGTCCACTCTCGCCATATATTTTTACTCTGTGCATGGAACGCTTGAGCCACTTGATCATTAATTCGATTGAGGCTGGAACTTGGCAGCCAATCCGGCTGACCGGGGCAGGTCCAGACCTTTCTCACCTATTTTTTCAGATGACCTTATTCTCTTTGGTGAGGCCTCATCCCAGCAAGTGCAAGCGATCCTGCAGTGTTTTGATACTTTCGGAGCTGCCTCGGGTCAGATGATCAGCAAGCTAAAGTCAAGGGTGTTTTTCTCAGCAAATGTCACGGCAGCCAAAAGAGCAGAATTAAGTGATGAGCTGGCAATTCCGCAAACGGCGAACCTGGGGCGATACCTGGGAGTACCGGTCATTCATGATCGGGTGTCGAAGGCCACTTTTAATGAGCTCATTGACAAGGTGAATAATCGTCTTGCAGGATGGAGGGCGGACAAACTCAGCATGGCTGCGCGAGTTACCCTTGCCCAAGCGGTACTCTCTTCACTCCCGTCATACACCATGCAAACGTCATTTTTGCCGGCGAGTGTGAGGGAATACATTGATAAGAAGATTCGCGCGTTCGTCTGGGGAAGCACGGAGAATGGTAGAAAGGTTCATCTTCTTGACTGGGAAACGGTGTGTCGACCGAAAGAGGAAGGGGGGCTGGGTTTGCGTACAGCTACGAGATCAAATGAAGCATACATGATGAAAATTGCATGGAGGCTACTCACGGGGAAAGAGGAACTCTGGGCTCGATTGATTTGGAGTAAATACATTCGGGAGAGGGAGAATGGGTTTGAACCAAGAAGGCAGGGGCGAATGTCTAAACTATGGAGGGGAGTCATCCGGGTCTGGGACAAAATGGATATGGCCACTGTTTGGAATGTGGGCGATGGACGAACAGCTAAATTTTGGACGGACAGTTGGGTAACGGACGGCGACCCGCTGGCGGCGCATGCTGAGGATTTACCCCCAGGAGTTCTTGGCATGACGGTGTCGGAGTTCGTGCTTAATGGGGAATGGAACAAGGCCTTCATTGATTATTATTTGCCTAACGAATTTGCCTTGCAGGTATATTTGCACCCTGTCCCGGACACTCACGAAAGGGACACGAGATGCTGGCGGTTCTCTTCAGACGGGCGGTTCAATTTCAAGACGGCGTACGAGTTCACGGCGGAGGACGAGGGAGGCCCGAACCACAGGCATCCGAAATGGCGAGCGGTTTGGAGAACTCCAGTCATGCAGCGGACAAGAAGCTTCCTCTGGCTAGCTACCCATCAACGGCTGCTCACGAATGCGGAGAGGGCACGAAGACACCTGACAACCGACGACAGCTGCAAGACATGCGGCGGCGGACCCGAGACGACGTTACACGCACTCCGGGACTGCCCGTTTGCACGGGGAGCCTGGGCAGGCTTGCTTGAAGACGAACCGGACGGGGATTTCTACGGGAAGAGCTTGGAGGACTGGTTGTTTTACTACTCCACAGGTCGGGGACAAGCGGTGGACGCAACTCTTTTTGCAGGTATTGCTGGCTCCTGTGGAAGAACCGGAACAACTTCTGCTTCCAAGGCGAGCTCCAATCTTTTCCTCAAATTCAGTTCAGTTCGGCACAGCTGCGGCAGAGCATACTTCGCGCACTTGAGAGGGAACCCATTGTTGGAGGAGCCGGGGGACTCCATACACCAACACCCATCCGCTGGCAGCATCCAGAACCAGGGTGGACTTGCCTCAACACTGATGAGTCGGTTTATCACTCGCCATCGAGTACGGCGGCAGGCGGGATAGTGCGAGGGGATGACGACCATTTTATTACCGCGTTCACCATGAACCTTGGGGGGGGGGGTTCGATCACCAGTGCCGAGTTAGCTGGAGTTGAGCAGGGGCTGAGGTTCGCTTGGGAGGCAGGAGCTCGGAAGGTTCTCCTACAGACGGACTCAACAACAGCCATCAACCTTATCGAGACAGCAGACCAGCAGCATTTGCAATTCACGAGAGTCAGGCAGATTCGACAGCTTCTAGCCAGAGACTGGCAAGTCAGACTGCTTCATATCTACATGGAAGCCAACGTCGTCGCAGATTACTTGGCCAATCTTGGTCATTCTGTCCCACTGGGAGTCCATAGGATCACTGCGCCCAATAGGGCCCTTTCATACTGGTTGTACCACGACTATATCGGGGTTGAAACGACCCGCTTGATTCCTAATTAAAGGTTGGGACGCCCTTTTGCGTCCCTTTTTCCACCAAAAAAAAAGATTCCACAAAAAAAAAAAAAAGGGGGGACGGGGAGCAAGCAAGTAGACCGCGCGTGTCGGATTCTGAATTTCTCATTTCTTATCTTCCACTTCCACTCCACCTAGGTTGGAGGCAAGCTAGCTAGTGAATTAAGTAATAAGGCCAGCTGCCTTTGAGACCTCCTTATCCACCCCTTCAACTCAACTAACTAGCCACCGTCCCCATCTCAATCAATCATTGCTTCTTCAATTCAATTCAATTCTCCCCCTCCCTTTTCGGTTTTCCGCCCCCCCTCCATTCCATTCCGCTTCTTCCCCCTTTCACCTCTCTCTCTCTACTCTATTCACTCTCCCTTCTCTCTCTGCCTTCCTCCTTCTAAGAGGGAGCTCATCGTCGGTGGCGACGAGAAGCTTCCCCGCGACCTAACTTCCCGTTCACGGCCTTTGGCGTCTTTCGTCGGCCGGGCATCTCTATACACGTATTTGTTTTGTATATAGTACTTTATTTATTTAATTAAATAAATTGTTTTTAAAGATGATGAGGAGCATGCACATGGGGAACTCCGCCCCGGCGAGAGGCATAGCTGCCATCGTCGGCGTTGGGCCCAAGCTGGGCCGCTCCGTGGCCCGGAAGTTCGCCCACGAAGGCTACACCGTCGCCATCCTCGCCCGCGACCTCGGTACGTACACCGTTTCAATCTAAGGGGGGAAAAAAAATTTCAATCTAATTTAATAATAATAATAATAATAATAAAATAAGTTGTATCAGGGAGGCTGTCGATGTTCGCGGAGGAGATAGCGCGGGAGGAGAAGGCCCAAGTGTTTGCAATCAGAATAGACTGCTCCGACTCCAGGAGCATCAGGGAGGCCTTCGAGGGCGTTCTCTCGCTCGGCTTCGTCGAAGTTCTCGTCTACAATGCCTACTGCCCGGCTGCCTTGCAGCCCACCAACTTCGCCGACGTGTCTCTCGCCGCCTTCGAGCGGTCCCTCGCCGTCTCCTCCGTCGGCGCCTTCCTCTGCGCTCAACAGGTAAAAACTACAAATCTCTGCTCACTAATTAGTTAACCTTGTCACAAGAAGAAAAGAAGAAGAAAAAAAAAAAAAAGACTTGATGGGGGCATACAGAACTAGAAATTTGAATGAGCTAGAGTTGTGATAATTGAGAAGGGAGCTAACGGTTTAGCACTATATTATTTTCTAAATTTGCTACGAGTTTTACATGTAATTTTTCTTATATTTTAAAATTGAGTGAGAGACATAGTCTCTCATATAGTCATAACTTCAACCTAACTCCGTCACTCGGTTTATTGTTGTAAGCACGACCACATCTCTGATCACATTTGATATCGAGAGCCGAGGAATATGAGTCAAAAGGAATAGATCTTAACCGGATAGTTAAAAGCGTACGACTTATCCGTGAGAGATATTTAAATATATTAACGGTTGGCTCTGATTATTTTGTAGGAGTATGTACTAAACATTCCGATTTCTTGACTTTGGGCTAGTTTGGTCTTACTGTAGTTTTTGTAAAAGCAATTTCTGGCTGGAGCTTTTATAAAAGTACTTAAAAAAAACAGTTGAGTGTTTGACTGAAAAACTATTAGAAGTGCTTTTTAATAGAAGAGGTTGTGTATATAATATAAACTATGAATAAAAATTCTAAACAATAAAAAGTAGTCAAAATGGATCTTTTTAGATTTCTTTTATATAAAATAATATAATTTATTTGTAAAATGATATCAATGAAAGAAAATTATATTTTTTGAAATAAAATCAAAATACGGTAAGGATAATCTTGTATTTTCAAAACAGCTTTTCGTAGAAGCTCCAAATTGGAGCTTTTGCTTTTATGTTATACAATAACGCTTTTCGACTTTTTAAAAGCCGAACTTTTAGAGATTTTTAGCTCTGCTACAGCTTTGAAGTCGAAAAGCACATCTAAAAAACAGACCAAACATACGCTTTATATACTTCCATAAAGACATTGGGATTATAATAGCGCTTACCTCAGACATGATAATCAACAATGCAGTCAAAATCGCACTTTAAAACTTATAAGCTTACGCTTTTACCTTTTTGGGTCACCAAAACGCTTCTACGTAGATCGTGATTTTCCATTACAAATGTAGTCAAATCTACATTTTAAAACTTAAAAGCTTACGATTTTACGTTTCTAGGTCACCCAACCACTTCTAAATAGGAAAAATCGCGCTTTTAACGGTATTGATCATCAATAATTTTAAAAAGTTAATTAAATGAAATTAGTGGAACGACAATGATTAATAATCTACTTTTTATGAGTTAACCTTTGTATACATTGTGTTTGGTGGGTAGGTTCTTCCAGGAATGGTGGAGAGAAGGAAAGGGACGATTCTGTTCACAGGTTGCGCGGCTTCACTAAACGGGATTCCTGGATTCTCTGATCTATGTACGTAAGGGCGCCAAAGATTCAATCAATCATTATATAGCTTTTTACATAGCACGTACATACGTACGTATTACTTTGTGAAAAAATTGATGTCAGTATATTTGTACGTATATATATACATACAAGGAGTGGACACGTGTACGGTTGGTGCATGCAGGTTGTGGGAAGTTTGCACTGAGAGGCCTGTCGCAGTGCCTGGCCAGAGAGTTCCAAGCCCTTGGGGTGCATATTGCACATGTTGTCATCGATGGTCTGGTTGGCTCACCTAGGTCAGTTCCCTTTTCCTTCTCTAGTTTATATCGTACCAGCAGGTCGGATCAGAAATACCGAATATCAAACCCAAAATAGTAGGTAGTTTAACCATAGTTAAAACCATAATTTTAATACAAAATATCATTATTACTGATTTTTTTATATAATTTCAATACGTTTTCTGAATTCTTCGTTTAAAGAAATATCTCATCCATCTTTTTTTTTTTTTTATATATATCTCATGAATCTCTGTTGTGGATAATGTATAGTCCATCTTTCTGATGGGGAGCTTCGAGGATTCCCAAGATTCCCATTATCTTAAGGATCTTTTCCACTTTTTTGGGGAATTTTGGGGGGTTGATAGATATCCAACGAAAGGATAGAGTTCTAGTTCGAACTTCTAACCCAAATAAAGGGAGAATGGGGGAAAAAGAAAAAGATCTAAAGAAGCTCTCTTGATGGGGAAAGTGTGTGGCTCAACTTCTGATGATATCTATTTTTTTACTCGAATTTTTGAAGTTTGATTTTATTTTAAAAGTTGAATGGTGTTAAACAGTCTACTAAGTCTCAATTTTTGGATGATTTTTATTTATATAGTTCGAGTATGATATATGTTTTTATCTCCATTAGGTCAACTCATTGGGGTTTACAAATAAAATTTCTGGGCAAATTAAAAGTATTTTTTTTTAGAATATAAAAGTGAAAGCTCTTTATGTGGAGATTTTGAGAAAAGATGTTTTGAAAGTAGGATATTATTCTTGTTTTTAGATAGGAAATAAATTAAAGCAAACAAAAAATAACATTATTTAATGCAAATAATCCAACAAAACCATTTTTACATATTAAATATCTATATTGAGATCCTTATAGTCATTTTACATTAAAAATTCTTTTAGTAGTTTACTAATGAAACACTAAAATGCTTTTCGATACACACTCCCAAAAAACATCAGTCAAAACCTACATTTATTTTCTGTAGTAGTTTTGTAGAATTTAAATTTGTTTTTTCTTTTCTTACAATAGTGGTACTGGTATGAAACTAAGAATTTAGAAATGTAGATTCTACGAAGATGTGGAGGATGATGATTGGCAATAAATTGGGGGAATCGTCACATATATGCTGGACGTACGTTGCGTAGAAGATTGACTAATAATAAGTACCGCATGCAGGGGACCATCGTCGACGTCGCCGTCGACAGGCAGTACCACCGGCGGTGGTTGGTGGCAGAGGACGGCGGTGGTTGGGGAGCAATTAGTACAACAACAGCAACAAGTAGTCGAAGGAGAAGTGGTAGTGGACGGTGGCGGGCCACCGGAGCCAATGATGATGATGGACCCGGACTCTTTGGCCCAAACCTACTGGCATTTGCACGTCCAGGACAGGACGTGTTGGACCCAAGAGATCGACCTCCGCCCTTCCCACTCTCAACAGTGACGCCAGCCGGCCCGGCCCCAAGTTAATTACTACTTTACCCCCTTAATTAATACAGATTGAACTAATATTGCTCTTGAAAGCTCCTCCTTCCCAATTTTTATGTGGTGTTTAAATATGATGGTGAAAGCTCATTAGTACGAAATAGCTAGTCGTCCTGTCAATCAAATCTTATACACATACACATCAGTTTCCGTATTAATTTGTCTTCTTCCTACTGTTTTTGTTTTACTACCCTTTGCGACCTTCGTTTTAAGGGCAGTGGGTCATATTTTGTTGTCTTCTACGGACGAGCGAAGGGCTTCGTGTCCCAATTTAGGACACACGACATACAAATACAATACAAGCCTATCTCTCTCGTGGACTTTGAATCCGATCGAGCTTTTTCTCTCTAGCTAGTAAGTAATGACCCTATTATTTTTCCTACCTTCTAGCCTGATGGTGACAAAGGGATCTTGTTCCACTGCAATCAATGTTTCGGTGGAAACTGCACCGCACTTGGTAAAAGCAGGACATGAGTAACGAGAGAAGAGGAACACTACGGAAGAAGAAGCACACCAAGTAGTAGGTTTATATGTAAATTTTGAAAATACGGACATCAAGGATGATACCGATCGATGTCCCCAAGAGGATTAACTATTACTTTAGGTTAAAACCTTGGAGGATCGAATCATCGTCACCAGGGGAAAAGCCAGAATTTTCATGTCGGGGAGGCCAAAAATCAAAAAATTGTACATATTTTTTTTTCTTTAATAGGTAGATTAGTAAAGTCATATTCAAAGTAAATATTTCGAATGTTTTGGTTTATTGAATCAAGAAATTTACTTCACATTTTGTAGCTATATTTCTTATTTGCATAGTACAAAATACATATTTACAAATAAATGTAGATATTGAGCGAATCAAAACAAGATATTATCCAATAAGACAATAAATAAATACTAACAGAAGTGAAATTTACGCTTGAATAGGGCATGAAGGAAGACTCTAAACGAGAAATAGGAAAATCAGCTAAATGAGTGAAGATTATACTATACGAATGAAAACAAAACATAAATAGAGTAGGGAATATTGAAAATTATACTAAAAGTGTACAAGTATAAAAAGGAGTATGATATGAAGGAATAATCTCTCAAAGTGAAAATTATACTAAATGAATGAAAACACAGCATAAATAGTGTAGGGAATATTGAAAATTAATATATATAAATATAAATATGAAGTAATGTTACTTTTGCCTAAAAATAACATTTTGATACCCCAAATTTAATTAAATCACAATTTAGTCATTATAATGTATATTTAACATTTTGATACCCCAAATTTAATTTTAATGTAAAATCATTGAACAATTATACTTTGGTATCTAAATTTTAGGAGATTTTTGTACATGCAATTTTTAAAATTAAATATTGGTCCAATGTTTAGATTTCACTTGAATCCAATCCAGCAATCCTTTTGAACCAATCCATGAATCCAATCCACCATAACATAAAAGTATAGATTTAGTTTGTACAATACAAGATGTTGTATCATTCAACTGTAGGAGAAGATTTGACCATTTCATATTTGCTCATTACGTGAAACATTAAATAACAGGTAAAACATAGACAACTCTCAGATATTGCAACAACAAATTTATAAACTCATTTTGTATATTTATGGGGTACTAAAACTTCTACGGTGAAAAGGGTTGATTGTTGTACTGACAGCCAACTAAAAGAATTGGTCAAAACATTTCCATTATCTACTTCTCTTCGTTTCATTTTTCACTCGCGTTCCATAACCCTTTTTTAATTTCTACACATATCAAATAAATAGTTTCATTTTTTTATAAAAATAAATAATTATCATCTTAAATACATCACCATAAAAGGTATTAAGCCTCAACTTTGCAAATTATAGTTTGGTACCTAAACTTGTAGATCTTTAGATTTATAACCTAAATTTGTTTTTTTTACATATAAGTCCTCAAAATATTGATGGAACATTATATTTTAGTACCTAAAATTTTAGTGTATCATATTTTGGTACCTAAACTTTTGAAGATCTATAAATAGGTCTAATTTGTGTATGTTGAATTAAAACACCCTCGAATAAATGGGTATTCATACCCAAATCATAAACATTTAGATTACCTAAGTAAATATCAATACCCTACCAAAACCCATCTACAAACTTCAAAACCCATATATATGTCAACCATACCCTACCCATGATCAATGGGTCTACTTGGGTTTAGCTAAATATCATTTACTATCCAAAATTTTCAAAATATTTTAAATTGGATGTTGACCGCCATATATCTTTTCTCAGTCAATATTATAATTTCAAGTCAGTATTACTTTTTTTTATATAATAATATATGTGCTTTTTATTAGTGGGCTAAAGCATCCAAGTCCAGAACATCAAGGATAAATATGGGTGGCCTACCAATCCAGTCTTCCTAGCCATCCCAATTACAGTTCATATGGGCTAAGGTATGGGCTGCTCTATTATCGGCCCGTTTAACAAATTGCCATTTGACCCTGCCCATCCTAGTGCTTCCTCCTTCAGCTCTGGCACCATCACCACAGCTTCCAGCTCCGTCATTTCCTCCCCTATCAGCTTGAAGACAACAATTTGAAAGTACGATTCAACAATAGCCTGCCTTCTCCCCAATTTCTCCATCAAACTCAGACCCAGCCTCATTGCGCGAAGCTCTGCTAGCTCCGCCGACCATTGGAGTCTCTCCCGACTGATAGACGCTTTGAGGAAGACTCCTCCCTCATCCCGCGCCACCGCTCCATATCCGCTCCCTCGACCATCGAAGGTCGCTGCATCGACATTCACCTTTATCCAATCCGTCGGTGGTCTCGTCCAGGTAACTGCTTCCTCTGCCTTTTCTTTCATTTCACCTTCGTGGTAGGATTTGAATTCCTCCCAGTGGCTTAGGGCTTTTCCCACGATTTCTCACTCTTCCATCTTACTGTTGTTGAACATTTGGTTATTGCGCTCGTTCCATAGATACCACAAAATCATCCCCATTTGTTCGATACCCTACCAAAACCCATCTACAAACTTCAAAACCCGTTTATATGTCACCCATACCTTACCCATGATCAATGGGTCTACTTGAGTTTAGCTAAATATCATTTACTATCCAAAATTTTCAAAATATTTTAAATTGGATGTTGACCGCCATATATGTTTTTCTCATTCAATATTACTAATACAACTGCTAATAAAAAATTAATTTTAGACTAATAATACTAACAAAATATATAAGGGGCTACATAATGCATGCCCATATGTCAATGTCATCTCTGCTCACGACAAGGCGTGGCATCACCTCCTAGTTATACTAAAAGTGTACAAGTATAAAACGAAGGAGAACTGGGAATCAAACCCAGGTTCTGAAAAACCATGCCAGTCTGCTGATAGCACATTTACTGCTAGTCTACAATATTGAACTTGTATTGTCTATGCCTACTTTAGAGTTTTCTTAAATTTATGGGGGGCCATTTTGCCCTTAATCGTCACCAGTACTAAGGAGCTTCTGGGACGATGACGTCACTTTCTCTCATAAGCAATGAAGGATCTAAGCAGAGACAATATCGTCATAGTTAGTATGAAATCCTAGTTCCGTTTTTACTTTACAGATAGACGTGTTGTTTTGTATTGGTAGATAGATTAGATTATGTTAGTTATTGTTAGGGCTGATAATCGGTCGGCATCTGGTATATCGGATACCGATTAACCGGTATTCGGTATACCGGAACCAGACATGGTACCCATCGAATACCGATACCCAATATTAGCCGGTATACCGAATACCGAATAGTCCGTATCCGGTATTAATACCGTATGCCGAATACCGGTTAATGCATTGAGATTACTTTTTCGAGCCGGGGCGATGGCGAAGTGAAGAGAAGAAGAAGACAGGGCTCGGCGCAGGGACTGCTGCTGACGAAGAGGAAGACAGACGAGGCGTGGTGGTGGAGCGCGGCGACGCATCGTGGTGGTGGAGCGCAGCGACGCGGCGTGCTGGCTGCTGGCGCTGGGTTCGCCTTCCGACCTTCAGAGCAAGGACTACTGCTGGCGAAGCGGAAGACAGACGAGGCGTGGTGGTGGACGCGGCGCCGCGGCATGCTGGATGCTGGCGCTGGATTTTGCCTCGGCCTCGGGATGGAGAGGAGTAGTCGAACGGAGGAAACACGAGACGAGGTGGAGGGCGGGTTTGATTTAGATTTTAGGGTTTACAAATGCCACAGCCCCCAATTCCCCTACGCTATCATTTTTTTATTATTATTCGGTATTCGGTATACCGATTTACCGTCGGTATATGACTGGTCGGTATGCGGTATACCGTTTGGCCAAGAAGTGCAGCCGAATACCGATACCGCCGGTATTCGGTATACCAAATACCGATTGTAACCGGAGCGATACCCGATAATACCGAATACTGGTTTACCGAATACCAGCCCTAGTTATTGTTGTAATTATATGGTGGTAACTTTGTTAGTCTCCTTCGTTGCAAAGAAGACTGAGAATGTATGATAGTTCTTGAGCCACAAAGAACCTGTGTAGGTTCTTCCACAATTTAACCGACAAAAGATTTCTTATGGTATCAAAGTCTGGTTCAAGAATCTAGGATTTTCATAACCATAGCCACATTCTTTCTTCCTCCCACTTCTCATAGCCGATCATAGAAACAACACCACAATCTTCCACTACAACAACTGGTGCTATGACTTCCCTAACTGGCATTATGACGGGTTCATACTACGTAAACCCTAATGAATCTCATGGTCTTTCCAATCCAGCTGGTTGGTACCTCTAACTACAACCTCTAGAGCAGGACAGTCCGGATAGCCCTCAAAAGTAGGAACAAACTCAGCTTCATTAGTGGCTCGATTCCAACTTTAGATATTTTCCAGCAAACTATTCAGGTTGGGAACATAACAATACCTTTGTGTATTTTCTCATTCTTAGCTCCTTGGATCCAACTGTGGTTGATACCATTTCATCACAAGA